ACTCCACTATCTGTTTCAGATACCTTGGCTTCCTGTTAAAAGAACTTTCTTGCGAGTCTTTCTTCAAAAATTATTTGATTCCATATCACCAAAATCCAATTAAAAAAAATGATTGATGTCTAGCCACATTACTACTAGTATTTAATATAAAATAATATAAATAAACCCTGACAAACATTGGGACGAGAAGATCATCTTAGCATACTAAGCTATAAATTATCACACCATCCATTAACGGGAATACAAGATATACATTTACAGCTTAGGCAAATGGACCCTATGTCAGTATTTGAATAAAATACATGCAATAAAACAGGAAATAGAATAATAATAATACAGAGAACGACGCGTTTAAGAACATTCACTATTAACTTCCTGCTCTTTGAAATATAGGAGTTTAAAAGAAATAGCAAAAAGAAAGTAAAAATCCCATTATAACCCCACTTAATCAATTGAAATAAACATTTAATTATTTAAAAAGATAAACAATAAAATAAAAGGCTTATCATCATGCGCAAAGTTATATATTTCTGGTATCATTCCTAGGACTATTGATACAGTAACTGAAAGTATTATTTTGATAAGCTGCATGAATGAATTTGCTACATTTCTCCACTCAAACATTAGTTTTATAATAGAATATCCCAATAGACCAAAAAAAAATCCCCAACAAATCATGGAGGCTAAAATAAATAGATGACATGAGGCTACATCTTCAACAATACAGTACGTATTATTTACAATTTTTAGAGCTAGAAAATATAGCACTAGAATGAATCCCCATAATGCTGACCCCAGATAAAGAATCATGTACCGAATCATACCAATATTACGTTCAATTCCACTACCAAATTGTAGATGCGAAATCAAATATAATACAACGTGTATAAATCCAGCATGCAAGAATTTAGGAATAAAAAAGCTAAAGGTCTGATTTAGATATTTGTGGCCGAATCCTCCAAAGCTGCAGGCATCTTCTAAAGTACATGTAGAACTATAGTTTGTATAACATCCATGAAACAGAGTTGTTCA